TTATGTTATTATAAATATAAATAAAAATAGAAAAACTAAAATATTTTAAATTATTTAATATAATAATATTTTTGAGCTTCCATTGGTTAAGTATTTATTATTTTGTTAGAATACAAAATTACAATTAGAATTAAAATTAATATTAAAATTATAATTTTGTATGGTTAATATAATCTCTAATTATGTGCATATTCAAATAAACTTATAGAGAGAATTTACATAATTACATTGATTTATTCTTAATTGTATTTTATCTATATTATAATTTTCACAATATGAATAATAACTAAGATAATTACATTTGGAAAGCAAATTTCAAATTTTGTATGTGTAAATTTAAACTCTAATTGAACACATTTTTTATATGATATATAATATATAGCTATTTTATTTTTCAAAAATATATTTTTTATATGATTATATAATATATAGCTATTTTATTTTTTAAATGTTGTGCTTTTTTTTTTAATTTTTTTTATAATAAAGGATGTTGTGACATTAATTGTAACATTAATTATTTCCCAAACCATATAGCTTTATTATATAATAATAATAATAATAATAATAATTATACTAAAATATTTGAATAAAGTAGTGGGGTAGCAAAAGTAGACAGCAGATAATATAAACATAGTGATTGGAATCATAAATGATAGTATGGTGTATAATTAAATGTCAAACCAAACACCAACTTAATATATACCAATAGGGCGTTTGTATATAACTCAAAACCCTTAAATGATGAAGTGAAATTATACCTTTTTAAAAATCTCAAACCACAATAGCAACAAACAAAAATCAAGGCACTAGCAACAAACAAAAAGCAAGGTACTTATTACCTAACAAAGTTAATTATCACTTAAAAGCCAGCCATAATAGGCTACTAGAAACCAACTGACTAGAAGAGTCACAATGGGGATTAGGGACCATGGTCCAAATGTCCAATGGCCTGCCGCAGCTTAGCTTGCATTGTGACTAATAAGAACTAAGGTTGAATGTTAGGTTGGAGTGTTGCCTAAAAACAAAAAAATTGTCCTTTTGTTTCTTTTTGACTGATACACAATGTTATTTAAACTCTAATTTAATTCATCTCATCTTCATCTAAGAAAATGACATGCAAGGTGTGTGTGTGTGTATATATATATATATATATATATATATATATATATATATATATATATATATATATATAAAATCGCACTCAGGTGCGAATGCTTCGCCCAGGAGCGAAATAGGAATGGATTCTGTCTGTCCACGTGTCCAGATCTAATGGATGAAAAACACTGATTTTTTTTTAAAAAGCACGGTGGCATTTTCGTAAATAATTGAACATCGAAGTGCAAGTAAAATGTATTACAAGTGCATGTAAAATGTATTATAAGTGAAAGTAAAAATTTACACTGAGCATCAATACTAAGTGCACCTATAGTTATAAGTAGTTGCACCTATAGTTCTAAGTAGTTGCACACATAGTTCTATGCACCTAGGTGCATGAATGTTTGCGGGTGGTTTTCAGGGGTATTACTACCGCTGAACTCAGATCAATGAATGTTAACAAGGCAAAATTACATGCACTTATAGGTGAAAGTAGGTGCACCTATAGTTATAAGTAGTTGCACCTATAGTTATAAATAGTTGCACCTATAGTTATAAGCACACCCAGGTGCATGAATGTTTGCGGGAAGTGAATGCTAACAAGGCAAAATTACATGCACTTATAGGTGAAAGTAGGTGCACTTGTAAGTGATTTTACTTGCACTTCGATGTTCAATTATTTACGAAAATACCCCCGTGTTTTTTTAAGCTATTAGATATGGACACGTATCGCGCGCTGATTCGTTCGCATATTCCTTCCTGGGCACTTATTCGCACCTGAGTGCATCCATATATATATATATATATATATATATATATAATCAGGTGCGAACTGATCTTAACGTGCGAACCTGTGAACTTTTGAAGAATTGCACCGCACTTACTATGGCCCTGTTTGATAAATGGCTGTTAGCTGTTAGCTGATTGTGTTAATTAGAGGGTATAATTAGTTGATAAAATCAACTGTTGTAGAAAAGTGTTTGGTAAATTAGCTGTTAATTGATAATTGTTTGGTATAATTTCTTTTCTGAAAAAGCTAATTGAAAAAGTTGTTTAGAGTAGCTTTTTGAATTTTAGCATTTTGGAGTTGCAAAAAGCTAATTAACCAAACACTTATATTGATATTTTAACTAAATCAAACAATTAATAGTGCTCAAATAAGCCAAAATTGGCCTATAGGCCAACTTTTTTTTACCAAACAAGGCCTATATGATCACACCGCACCCGGATCCGATTACTCCGCAAAATACTCCAGACATGTTTGGGAGCAGTAACAGTGCAATTATGTAGTAGTTGTGGTCAAACTTTTAACTCTTGAGTTATAATTTATGGTAGAGTTAAGGCCTTAATGTCTGATTATATTGTTAAACTCGACTCAAATAATTAATTCATATAATCAAATCTTATTATTTCATATATATATATATATATATATATATATATATATATATATATATATATATATATATATATATATATATTGAAGGGAAGGGAATATTTATTTAATAGATGAGTTGGACTAAATTCACACATTTACATCGAAAAGAAGAAGAAGAAAATTAAAGCTAGCGTTATAATAAAATGCTTTATTTTGTGATCTGTACACTTTTTAATGTAAATATTCCTTAATAAAATGAGTTTGTTTGACTCTATAGGAAATGTCTTTTCTTGTCTCTTTCATAATAATTCATATATATTTGAACAGCGTAGTTGAACTAAAAAGTACCACTAATAATTCATATATATTTGAAAAGCTTAATTGGACAAGTTTATAGCACATTAGTACTAAATGAAAATGTAAGAAGACCTAATAACTTCTTCTATTTTTTTATTTTTTTTTTTAAAAAAACTTCTTCTAAATAATAAACACTTGTATTGTACCTGTCACGAAACTAATTTTAATTTGATCTGAGACGTCTGTATAGAGTTTGGCTCTTACTTGAAGACTCCTTTAAAATAAATAAAATTAATTTCTATTTTTTTTCATAGATTTATATGTGTCAGTCTACTTTTAATATTTCTTTATTAGAAGTTAGAACATCCATTTTGGTCTTAGTATTATTGTGGCATGACCATTTTTGGTCATTCGCCAACAAAATTATTGAAATACCGTTAAAAATATAAGGACATTTTGATTTTTTTTTTAAAAAAAAACCATAATTGAATACCAAAATGCCCTTGTATTTTACAGATTTTAAATGGTTTTGTTGATAAAGGACAAAAAATGATTATACCACAATAATACTAGGATCAAAGATCGATATTTTAAAAAATGACTAAAAGTGAATTACCTCTTATAAATTTAGGAATATGACTAAAAATGAAATTAACTCAAATAAATAATATGAGTTTATTTAACTCACTCTTAAATACTCTTTTTTTTTTATATAAAAATATATATAAATATATATATATATATATATATATATATATATATATATATATATATATTATCAATTAGGTTAATTTACATATAAGAAAGTGATTCAGAGTGATGAGTTCAAGAGTAACTAGTAAGTATGCTTTTTTTCAAGAGGTTGTTTATATGAAAATATGATTGGAAGGATTGGAGCAATTCATCATTCTAATCACAAAATTTTTAGTTGTGGAGGGTAAATGCCCTGTATATGAATAGGGCAATTGGAGCAATCTCATTGCCAATGATCTTTCGAAATTCAAACATAATGCTCGATCTTATCAATTAGGTCACTTTACAACAAAGAAAGTGTCGTAAAGTATATCTAAGATATAGTATTAAACTTGTGTTCGTTCCAACTACCCTTTAAAAGTTGTTTGGATAAAGTACAATTAGAAGGATCCAACGCTAAAAAACTTAACTAAAAATGTGTTAAGGTCATGCAAAAACAGTGCAATTAGAGCTATCTTACTGTCACCAATTAGAAGGATCCAAAGCAAAAAGTGTTAAAGTCATGCAAAAATAGAGTAATTAGAGCTGTCTCACTGTCACCACTTTTTCAAATATACTCTTACGTAAATGAATACAGATACAGATAACATGATATGAAGTTATTATAATAATACGTAATGAGGGCGAAGATAATATGATCTAAATTCATTACCGGAAAAAGATGAGATTTGTCATTAAATTAAGGCATGAGTCACAAGCCATTATTATCCACCTGTCTTACTGTCACCCGTTAGAATGATCCAAAGCAAAAAGTGTTAAGGTCATGCAAAAATAGTGTAATTAGAGCTGTCTCACTGTCACCACTTTTTTAAATATACTTTTATGTAAATGAATACAGATACATATAACATGATATGAAATTATTATAATAATAATACGTAATAAGGGGCGGAGATAATACGATCTAAATTTATTACCGAAAAAGATGAGATTTGGCATTAAATTATGGCATGAGCCACAAGCCATTATTATACAGCTGTCTTACTGTCACCAATTAGAAAGATATAAAATAAAAAGTGTTTGTCATGCAAAAATAGTGTAATTAGAGCTGTCCCACTGTTACCGCTTTTAAAATATATTCTTACATAAATGAAGATAAATACAGATAACATGATATGAAATTATTATAATAATACGTAATAAAAGACGGGGATAATATGATCTAAATTTATTACCGAAAAAAGATGAGATTTGTCATTAAATTATGGCACCAGCCTCAAGCCATTATTATCCTAACTTGAAAGTGTGATGACCAAAACTTCCAAAGCTGCTTGACACCAAGACACACAACGTGAAGAGTGGGAAGAGAATGGACACATAGGTGAGCCCCCTTTTTACTTCCATAAGAGTAGCAGTTCTGTAGATGGTATGTGAGGGTGGGGTTTTGCCTTTTGTGGGAGGGAGTGGTGGGGCTTTTGCACACAATTTGAGGGATTAGCACATCGCTCTCCCTGCTGAAAACACCCACTACCCATTATTGTACTGCAAAAGCAACAAAGCAAGAAAGAGAAGAAAATAAAAATGAAATTTTTAATTTATTGATGTCAAAAAACCAAACAGTGGTAAAATAAAATGTAAAGAGAGAAGCATCCCATCCCTCTCCCCCAAACACTTTTCTCCCTCAAAAAGTACTTGTCTTGGTTGGGTGGGAGAGAGCTGCTGGGATTTTGAACCTCTGCCTCTTTTCATTTCACCCCCCCAGTTGTCCATGCAAAGATTGAGAGATTGCTTTCTTTGTAAAGGGGATTTTGTGTGTTGTGTTGTGATTGTGATTGTGTCTGTGTCATATGTAATGTAATTCTTGGATTTGTACTGTGTATAGCAGGAGAGAGGGGGGAGTTTTTGGTAGGTCAGAAAGATGCCCAGGCCAGGACCTAGACCATACGAGTGTGTGAAGAGAGCATGGCACAGTGATATGCACCAACCCATCCGAGGCTCAATCATACAGAAGATTTTCAGGTAATGGGGGGTTTGAGTTTCTGGTGGATTTTTGTTCTTGATTCTTCTTTTTTTAGGGTTTTTGAATGCCCACCATCTGTTTGATCAGAGCTGTACACGAGAGACACAGCGCTGCTACTAAGAAGAACACGGAATGGCAGATAAAGCTTCCAATTGTGGTGTTCAAAGCTGAGGAAATAATGTACTCCAAAGCTAATTCCGAGGTTAGTCTTCCTTTTTAACCTTTTTTTCTGTTTAATTCTTTTATGATGATTTGTGTTTTTAAATCAATCAGGCTGAATACATGGATCCCGACACGCTCTGGGATAGGGCTAACGAGGCCATTGATGTGATAATCCGGAGGGACGAGAGTACGGAGACTGGGCAGCTCTTGCCTCCTTGTGTTGAAGGTATTAGTTTTGCATCTTCATATAATTGTGTGCAAAGTTTTAAACTTTCTGGTTTTGGATTGTTTACCAGCTAGCTAACTAGCTAGCATATTGATTAAACGATTCGAGACCTGTAATATGCGTTTGTTTGTCATGGACTTTGGTGTTCAGCTGCTCTTGTTTTGGGTTGCGTTGCTGAAAGGACATCTCGGAGCCAGCGGAATTGTAAACCAAGAAATTACCTTAGCCCGAGAGCTCAGGAGCCTTGTCCTGTACCTCCCAAAGTTTTCAATCCAAGTTCAAATGAGCATAACCCAAATTCACTGTCTCCCCATTCTTCGAGTCAGCCAACATTTCGGAGACCAGCACATCTGAATTTGGTAACTTTGGCTTCAGAATCTAACAAGTCCGTAACGCCTAACATCAATAGTTTTAGTGCTTCGAGTGCTAGGAATCAAATTCTTCACGCGGAGGGTAACACTCCGGTAAACATGGGTTCAGTATATCCTTTGTATAACGGTACCAACTTGGAGCCAAAAGTCACCCAAACAGGCTTCCGTGAGCCTCAGAACAATGTGATTGTTGGCAAGCCTATTTACCCGTCAATTATGGGGCCTGCTGAAGTCAACTGTTTTCAGAGCTTATTCCCCAAATATATTATTGATAATCATGCTCAAGATGAAAGAGCAGTTCTCAGTGGAGGACCTCGGGAAGAATGTGATTTGTCGTTGAGGTTGGGTCAATCTTTAGACCATGGCTTGCATTTGGGAAAGGCTTCGGCTAGCGGTGGCCCTAACCTGAGGCCAAGTGATGATTCTAATGAAAGAGGCAAGTCCAAGGTTATATCTACCATTAATGACAGAGATTTTTGTTTCTTTAGAGCGGAATCTACGAATGATCCTTCTAGATTGCCTACAAGTTGGCGGAACCCAGAGGGTGAAGGTCAGGATATGGAGTCAATTCTTAGGAAGCGTAAAATGCCTTTTCATAACGCTGTTGATAATTCACAATTTTTCTCGCAAGAGGGTCGCACTTTCAACCATTTCACTGGTCAAATGAAAAGACCAGGTTTGTAGACAATCGGGATATGTTGTATTATAAAGTTTTTGAGGAAGAAAAATTTGAGATGCCATATACTTTCCATCAAAGTGCCCATTGCTGCTTCTGCATATACTCTGCTTAACTATGAAGATTTACGTTCTGTTAGTAAAGAGAAGGCAATAGTACTAAAAGAGAACAGAGACAACAAGAAAAGGATGCTTCTTATCAAATTAGGGGTTAATTTTACTGATCGTTACTGCACTAACTTATTTAACTGACAAGCTGAATTGGGTTTGGGAAGATGCCATTAGGGTGTGTTTTTTTGTTCAGAATATTGAGCTTCATTAAGTAATGCTAGAGAACATAAGCTGATAGTGTATTGAGGTTGTCTAATGATAAGAAAGAATTTGCTGAGACTGTTTGCTGAGATGCCCTGTGTTATGAAGTTCTATAAATTACCATACATCTTGTTTTGTGATTGAAGTACTCATACAATGAAAGTAACTTGTTCCTGTTTGTCATTGGAAAACTATTATATCGGTTGAACAATGAATCATGAATCTTCTGATGTAATTACACAGAGAATTTTCACATTGATTTTTTAATGACAAGGCAGATTGTGACTTTGTGAGTATACAGTTTTATCAGATTCTGATGTAATTAGATCTTGGTGCTTAGGTTTTGTTTTTTTAAAGTTTATGTTGAGAAGGAAATCTGATAATGCATCATTCACATGCATGCATTCATGATTTGCTGACTTACAAGTTGTACATTTTTCTTCTGACATAATATTATTTTATGTATTTGTATTTTTAGTTTGAAGTGAATATTCTTTTGAGTTCCCAAAATATGTAATGTGTCAGAAATGGCTATGGGCTTCTTGAATGTTCTTCCATTGCCTGTTGGTCCTCTTTGCTGTAAAACTAGAAATGTGAAAATTACTGAACTAGAAAACATGGACCACAATCTTGGGATTCTATTATTTTATTTATTTATATTGAAGAAATAGGATCCATACCTTAGCTAGGAGATGGTTGTTTGACATCCTTAGTGCTGATAAATTCTGTAATGGATCGAAGCTGGAGCTTATGGTAATTTGCATCTTCATATTGACAATTAGATACAAATGAACAGTTTATCTTTCTGTATTGCAAACTTCGGGTTTTTACTTTTGTGTCTAGATTATCAGTTTGGGTAGCTGAAACAGCTGCCAAAATCCTCCATTTACAGGTTATTAATTCGAACAAGATAGCCTTTCTGGATATCGAGACACTTTCAATCTGTCCTCATGTTTTAGGGTTCTCCTGTTTTATCATTAGTATTGTGCATAATGTGTTCTTTCTAGTTGATAAATTTTCATTCACAGGGTGTGGAGTATAACTTCTTGATTGTTTCAGCATGTTAAAGTAAGAAACCGAGAGGCCAATTTCTGATAGTGTTTCTTAGTACAACTTGGTTTTCCGTTAACCTTTGATTTTGAAGCTTGAGTGTTTGAATGCATGATGAGTTGTACCACCTTTCTTTCTCCAGAGAAAAGTTATGAATGCCTGTCCATATATTTCCAGTCCTAATTTAATGTGCTTTTGAGTTCCATAAATATATAATGTGCTTGAAATGGTAATTACCTTCTTTGAAGCCCTATCATTGTCTGTCAATCTTGTGATACATCTTGGCTATATATGCACCCTTTTCTTTCAGTCTTCCATTGATGCATGTAAGTTGTTGCATCATAGATACCCTTTGGTTTGGCTGAGGCAAAGGGCAATGGCCCTTTTGTTGTTCAATGTCCTCAAGCTACAAATGTGGATTCTCTTGACTAGCACGAAAGGATTAGAATCTCGAGGGCGCGTTTACTTCAATTCTTAGTTTCATGTCTTCCGATTTTTCTCTAGTTTTTCATTCTCCGCTCTCTAGTTTCTATTTTTGCAAGAAAATCTTGAACTTTTTCGGTTAGTAAGTTAGAAGATGATGCACCGCGACAATGTAGGGGTTTGACTGAAAAAGTTAGAATGGACTCGATTCGAGCCTCACACTGCTCCCACAGGGAACTTTGGGGGATCATTGGAAGACCTTGATCGATCAGAGGAGATGAAGACTTTTTTTCTTGTGCACAAAATGTATAGGCAAAGGTGAAAATTTAGAGATTGACTAGACATTTATTTTTTTCCACCAATTTTTTACTAGGGGCTTTGGAAGCTTAGGATTAATTAGTTTAACATAAGTTCGGAGGTTTAATGTGTAACAAAAAAAAAAAAAGAATTAGAAGATGATTATGGGATATGTATTGGTGATAATGAAGGTGGAAGATGGAGTTGTACAGTGCATTGAAGTGTTGCAGTTTGTGCTGACAATTTTACTAGTTAAAGCTTCCACTTCAACTAGAAAGCTACTATACAACCACCATGACACAGAATCCAAGATTTCAATTAACAATCTTGCTCAAGTAGATCATGGTTAATAAGAATTTCTTGCATTTTGCTCCATCAATTATAGGTAAAATTTTACTTTTGACCCTTGTGAAGGGTGGTCCCTCAATTACTTGAACTTAAAATGTGCCAACAATTTTTGATCTGTTGAGTATGACAACTTAGCAGTTTTGGTTGGACAGTTAGTATGGTAATCACAAGACTTCAAACCCTATAGGAGTTGCATGTTAGCCCGTCATCTTAGTTTGAGTCGGTCAACTGTGGACAACCTAGATTGGTTTATCACATTGTAGTCCTATTGGCTGACCTTTTTTGATTTGAGCTTATCAACTATGGATAACCTAAACTGATTTACCTCATTATGGTTATATTGTCCAACCTTCCTAGTTTGAATCGGTCAGGACAACCTAGATTAATTTATCTCATTGTGGTCCTACTGGCTGACTTTCTTGGTTTGAGTTGATTAGCTATGACGACAATCTAGACGTATTCATTTACCTCCTTGTAGTCATTTGTTAGCTAAAGTCACAAAGCAAACTTCATTCAAAGCGTACATTCAGATAATTGTTGCGGACTTACCTGTTGTGCATGCATCATCATCATGTGTTAATTAATTAGATAATTATTGTCATAAACCAACAAAACGTTGTAATCATGATAAGGCAATTAAACAAGGGCATTTTGTTTTCTTTCCATTTCCCACACCAACATGCCAGCTATATTTATATTACCTAGTTAGCTATAATTGCCATATAAGAGCAGGATCTCTAAGAACACTTTCACGGACTTCATGGACAAAACCATGGCCAACCAAGACTTGCACGTTGCAGTTTCTAATGTATGGAAATTGCAGACAAGACAAAAGCTTTGGCGTACATTCGTCAGCTTAGGCTTTTCTGAAAAAAATACTAAATATTAACATTATATTATGACCATCATTAATACATGTTAGTATAAGTTTGTATTTTGTATATACTGTGTGTTTAGATTAGTTGTACTATTCTATAGCCTATAGTTTAGGAACCTATTCTTATTGTATTATTGTATCAGGTTTCTGTTTGAATTGTATTATTTTTATTATTTTTTTTAAGGTCAAATGTTTTGTAGGACAATAATAAAAAAAAAATAAAAAATAAAAAATACACATGACATCCTAATCATCACAAACTTGTTGATAACCTACTAAAAATGCTAATTGTATTTCTTTACAGGTTTATGGATCAATTTGAAACTTATTCGAGTTCGGTGACTTAATTGCTATCCCTCAAATAGTTCAATACCCTATTTGTACATTTTTCCAATAAAAAATAAAAAATGGGAACAACATACGACGTCGGTTAACTTAATAACCGACATCATACACATTTTAATTTCTTTTTTATTTTTATATTTAATATACGACGTCGGTTTGTATTCAAACCGACGTCGTATAGTGTTATTTAAAAAAAAAAAACAATGAACTGATACAATGTTGGTTTTGATGATAACCGACGTCGTATCGGTTAATAAATTAAAAAAACAATTAACTGACAACATCGGTTATTCGAAATAATCGACGTCGTAGGTTTTTATTTTAAAACCCCTTCACTGCTCTTAGATCGAACGTCGCACAGCCACAAACCACCGCATAGCCTCTTATCCTCTCCGTCGCACAGCCACCACCGACGTTCTCATTTTCTCCCCTTCGTCTTCTTCTTCTCCCAAATCGAAGTTCGAACGCCCAACAACCACAGTCGCACAACCACCGTCGCACCGCCTTCCCGCTGCACGGCTACTCAATCGGCACACCTACATTGTAAGTTTTTTATATTTTTTAAGAACAAATTGCACTTTTGGTCCTGTGAGTGTTAGGGTATTGACAATTTGAGTACGTGACTTTCAAAAATCCCAATTTAAACCTTTAACTATGCATTTTTTGGCACATTTGGTCCTCCGGGCCAAATTGCCGGCCAATTTTGGCCGGAAAAACATAAATTGGTTCAAATTGTTTGTTGACGAGGGTAAAATTGTCATTTCACTCTCTTCTTCTTCATTCTCCCCCTTCTTCTTCGTTCTTCTTCTTCTTCATCCGGAAAAATGGAGGCTTATATTATTACTGAGCGGCGCCGGTGAGGAACGGGGTTGAGAGTTGAGATGATGATGATGAAATGCATTATTATTACTATTATTCCCAGTAATGGCTCTGGCACTCTCTTCTACTAATGCATCACAGAAAGCTCTGTGTGTGATAAAACTATCCCTCCTGCCATATCAAAACTAATATAATTGAACCCATTTTTGGTCAAGAAATTAGAAGAAAAGGGTGAAGAGTTAAAGATTAGAATACCTAGAAAAAAGGGTTCCACAGTCGCATCTATATTCCCTTGTTCTACAGGTTTTAGAGTGAGCCTTCCAATCAGACTGAACCGCATAGCGCTTAGAACATTTGTCACATTTCCACTTCTTCTCCCCATGTTTTCTGCAGAAATGCTTCTTAATCCCAGTGAGGTCTCCCAGGGCTCTAGATGGGTCATGGTGGACGCAGTTAGTTTCTGGGCAAACATGCATACACCTTCTTCCTCACAACATCCTTGCTGCTTCTCTGCTTCAACTTCAACATTCTTCGTTTTTCCGACAACGCATTGCCGACAACTAACGCATGAGGGTAAAATTGTCTGACCACTAAAGCATTGCCGACAACGCTGTTTCCTTCTCCTTTTTCCGGCCGCCGGTGAGCGAAGAAGAAGAAGAACGAAGAAGAAAGGGAGAATGAAGAAGAAGGGAGTGAAATGACAATTATACCCTCATCAGAAATTAATCCGAAGCATTAAATCTTTTTCCGGCCAAAATTGGCCGGCAATTTGGCCCGGAGGACCAAATCTACCAAAACTTGCATAGTTAAAGGTTTAAATTGGGAGTTTTAAAAGTCATGTACTCAAATTGTCAGTACCCTAATACTCACAGGACCAAAAGTGCAATTTGTTCTATTTTTTAATTATTATTTTAATTTTTGAATTTTTGGAGTTGACAATAATTATATTTGGAATTATTTATTAATGTATTTTGAATTTTAGGAATTATTAGGTATATATTTTGAATTTTATAAGTTATTGGGTATATATTTTGAATTTAAGAAATTATTGTATATATATTGTGTATTTTAGAATTATTATTATTATTATATTTTGAATTATTATTAATTTATTTTAAATTTTAGTAATTACTGTTA